AGTTTAAATAATAAGTAAAGTTCAATTTTATTATTTAATAGTTTAAATAATAAGTAAAATTCAATTTTATTATTTAATACTATCATTAAGTATTACTTACAGTTAAATGTTAAGTGTTTGGTTTTAAGTATTAAATAATTACAATTAAATATTAATATTGTTTAAATGTAAAGGTTTGACAAAAAAAACCATCTAAGCATTTTACCAAAAAATTCAGTATTAAAATACATTGCAACATAACCTAAAATTTAAGGTCAGTTTATAGGTTACGATTCACTGATATCTAGGTATCCATTTTTTAACCAAGCACATATTTTATGTGAGACAATATTAAATAATATTTTTACGTCTGTCTGTTACCACGACTGATATATGTACATAGAAAATGATATATAGTGTTTGTCAATTCGATAACGTGCCAGACAGTATTCGAATCGATAAAATGCCAATTATTGCACAGCTTTGTTGAAACGAGTTTAAAAGCTAATATAGAATTTCATAAAAATGAATTCGAAACTTTATATACACAGTGTTGCATGCAGTATCATTTATTTGAAAATATGACTCCAGTTTTACAATGGTAGTTTATATTTTTATATTTTACTATTTTTATTGATACTGGGTGAAATAAATTGGATTCCTAGTGAAGACATACTCCGTTAACTAAAGAAATAAATCAACGAACTATTAAGTGTTTATCAACTGAAATAATAAAATTCTAATATATTGTCAATGGACATACTAGCCAGTAATAATATTTTTAGATTAGTAGATCATGATCATAAGATCATAAACAAATATTTGTCACTATTCGAAAGCTTTGAATACAATAAAAAAAATTTTGTATAAATTGTACTTTTACGTAGAATAATTTTATATTTGTAATTATATATCAAGAAATAAGACTATTTATAAATACTTTTACATTGAGATTATACAATAATTTCGAACCACAACATTTACAAAACAAAGTGGTATTTCATATTTGAACACTTTGCCCTAATGTCAGATTCACTATCTGCTTAATTAGGTGACGTATGCTGTGACATACCAATTTCATTCAGAATCGAATACATATGTGACTTTCACACTTGATGTCACTTGGGAGGAACATTCATGCGATTGTTCCGAGTGAACGATGCACAATTATGTCACTATGAATTGTCTGACTAGCAGATTCTATGGCAACAGTAATGTGAAGAGGTGAAATAAGGGAGAAATACTTTCTGTTATAATAATGCACTTAACAACATGTCATTGCAGTAGCATCAAATCAGTACAGACATTTTTATCATAAATTATAAATTTGTTATTAATGTGTAGGTGTATTGATACTAGCACGTCCCTTATAAAGCATATGTAACATATGTAAATGTAGATTTGTATAATATGTATGAAGTATGTGTAGGTCCATTTATAAAACACGTATGAATACATATAAGTTTGTTTTTAAAATAAATATACATTTATTTATAAAATAAATATTCATCCATTTATAAAACACATATTCATACATTTGGAAAATATGTATAAAGCACATATGCACATATCAGTGAAATATACGTAAGACACATATGGGCACATTTTGAGAATACACATGAAACACATAGACACTTAGAAAATACATATGAAACATATGCATACATCAGTAAAATACAAATACAACTCATATGCATACGTTTGTAAAAAATGTGTAGACGTATAAAACACATATATGTACATTTGTAAAATACATATATGCACATTTGTAAAATATATGCAAAACACATATGCACCACTAAGATAAATATAAAACATGCATACATAATAAAATAAATACACGTTCATAAAATAATCATGAACCTCATATAGAATCATTTATAAATTACTTATAAAAATAATCTGTCAAACATGACTACCAAAAAATAATTATCTACAACTGAAGCTAAAATCATTGTTACATCTAAATAAAAGCTGTAGTACTAAATGACCTTAGTATCTCAGATGCTATCAAGTATAAGTCACCATCCAAGGTAAACATAACTACGAAAAAATAATTATCTACAACTGAAGTTGAAATCATTGTTACATCTAAATAAAAGCTGTAGTACTAAATGACCTTAGTATCTCAGATGCTATCAAGTATAAGTCACCATCCAAGGTAAACATAACTACCAAAAAATAGTTATCTACAACTGAAGCTAAAATCATTGTTGCACCTAAGTACAAGCTGTAGTATTAAATGACCTCAGCATCCCAGATGCTATCAAGAATAAGTCACCATCCAAGGTAAACATAACTATGAAAAAAAACTGTCTACAACTGAAGTTGAAATCATTGTTACATCTAAATACAAGCTGTAGTACTAAATGACCTTAGTATCTCAGATGCTGTCAAGTATAAGTCACCATCCAAGGTAAACATAACTACCAAAAAATAATTATCTACAACTGAAGCTAAAATCATTGTTGCACCCAAGTATAAGCTGTAGTATTAAATGACCTCAGCATCTCAGATGCTATCAAGTATAAGTGACACTACCGAAGAAACAAGGTGCAGCTGCAAGAAAAGGAGTGAAACTGGACAAATCCCAAGTAGTCCATCGGCAAAGGATTCGGTGTTTACGACTCTTCCGTTGCGTGCTCGGCAGAATAGAGCGAGATCGATTTCGTCGGGGCATCAGCGTGAGAACCACAACCAGAGAGGATTTCAGGTTTGCCCGTGAGCGGGGCACAGTGCGACTGCGAACGAGCTCGCACGAACGGAGAGTGCTGAACGACCGATAATTGAATAGAGGACGTGTGGACGAGGTCGGCACGCCAACGACTATCCCGACGTTAAGGTCTTTTCCCGTTAGCTCGAATTCGTGCTATCGTTATTCAGCGGGATCCGATGGATCCTGTCGTCACCGATGTTGACAACGAACCCGCCCCTGTCGACTGAATAGGCGAATATCTTTCCTTTCCATTCAGCCGACCTTCCTGAAGAGTTCATAGAAAATTCCGGATGTACTTCTAGCCGATTTTGGCTCCGATCGGTCATCCGTTCCGACTGCGAAATAACCGGAATCGTTCGTTTTAGCGTGTGTCAACTTGACCGATTCAATGCTACACCTGTGTGTGTACAAATGCTTAACACTATTCACGTGTTGGGTGCGATTTGGGAGTACTGTCACTTGGGACGATCAGTTTTTAGACACTTTAGCGTTAGAACCAGGT